CAGTTCATAATATCACAGCACGACTTTCCTGGCGATGATCCTGACGAGCCGAATGGAGTGCAATCAAATGAATCTCAGGATCCTACTGATGATATACTAGCTACTATCGCATCAGAAGAGACCCGTGATGTGCTAGACAAAGTTTATATTTTTCCACAGCCTTCATCTTGGACTGGTTAGAGGCTAGAGACTACCTACAACATAGCATTCTGAACTGTGATCTGCGTACTACTATGTTGATTTTTGACTGAATTTACCTGAACATCGTGGCATGTGACCTCGCTGACGAATCAGTAACCCTCATATCTGTCCTTGTTCATGTTTCTGTTCTGTTGTCTTCACATTGCAGGACGCACACTGGAGGACCACTCAGCACTGAAACCACTCACCAACGGAGCTCTGTGGGCTCATGTGTCACTGTTTTGCGTCCAACGTGAGTTTTTCATTTTATTTTTTCAAACACGCCCCTCCCCCATGACGCCTTGGTTTGGCCGTTTCGCCCCAAAGGCCAATTGGCGGAAAACAAGCTGTTCATAAGTATATCAATTTGGATTCTTAGTTTCATGCCAATCTCACTTCTCTTTAGTCAATCTTCCTCGCTCTTGTGCTTTGTGTTCCCCTCACCCATCAGATCATGGCCGTCTACATCGACATTCGCACAGTGTACGAGATACGCGAACGTCCTAGTAGGATGTGCAACTGGACTGCTCTTGTCATGCCGCAGCTTGTCACTGAGCTTCCCTGGAATGTGACAGGTCCTGCAATGTTCTTTTTCTGCTGGTACTGGACCGTTGGATTCCCCACAGCCCGGGCAGGCTACATGTTCCTCATTCTCGCCATCGCATTCCTGTCGTACTATACTACGTTTGGACATGGTATCGCGTCCATGTCGCCCACCGCTCCAGTTGCATCCATATACTTCACAACTCTCAGTCTACCGGAACTGAGCCTGTTGGTGTCGAGCCTGATCAAAGCATGTCCGTCATTCACCGAAACATAGTTTGTGACAGCTGCAGCAAAATCATTGTTGGCGTCAGGCATAAATGCTTGGACTGTCCTGGTAAGTTGATGATATGATGCCACAACGTTGTCTCATACATTTCCCAACCTAGACTATGATCTATGCACGTCCTGTATTGAGTCAGGTGCTGCAGAGAAGCACAACTCTTTCCATGAAATCTTCGATATTGAAACACCTGGACGGGTGCTCATTCACACGGTCTTTAGTGGAAGTGGGGAGCGCGATGCTTCTGCAACTAGTCGTAGTGCTACAGCAGATAGCCCTCGCACCTCCGTGGCCACTTCAGCCAGCGCTGCGGAGGCTGTTCGTCACTGCACTGCTTGCAATTTGTGCGATTCTCCCATTGTCAGCATTCGCTTCATGAGTTTGCTTTCTTCATCGCACTTCCTTAGCGCTCATGATAATCTAGAAATGTGTCAATTGTCCAGGTAAGAATGGTCGTCTGTACAATCATAGTGTGCTAATGGTCACTTTAAAGATTTTGATACTTGTGCTGACTGCTTCAAGTGCATATTCTGCTATCAAAACATAGTCAGCATTAACACTCTGGTCAGGATTACTAGAGAGCAGCATCACAATCACAGCTTTGTGCAGGTGAGCAAGATGAGTGACCTCATGGTAGCTGTGCCCTTTTTGTGAAAAGAAATCTGTCTCACAATAATTCAAGATGCGCTATGCAGCTTTCAACATGGTTACTCATTATGCGATGTGCACCAGTCGGATCATTGGCATTGACAGGCAGCAGCGCTATGTCTCTGGGATCAATAGCAAACCTAGCAGTAGGACTATGAAAGTTGGATGGGGGATGAGCGATTTATTTGCATGAAATGGGAAGGTCTGGCAGCTGCCGCCATTTGGGTACACGTTCTGGATGGAAATATATGTCCCAACTGCCCAGTTATCGTTCTTGCACATGTACAGATTACGTGACTGGTATGTACGAGTTTTGTATTGCAGTCTTCCGGAAGTTGCCGCCACGGCACCGTGTATGTGTTGAAATATTAAGTCTTGTTTATTGTGCATATCATTGCCATATCATATCTGTCCTCCATGTACATCATACTCAGTACTTGATGGTTCCTGCTCGTGTCAATGGGAGGTATCAACTGAAAGAAAAAATAGGGTCGGGTGCTTATGGTAAGCGAATTTTTATTATTATTACATCTCACTGTGAGGACTGAACTTTGAGACAGGTGAAGTGTACCATGCAAGCGATATCATCGGTGACGGTGATGTGGTTGTCAAGCTCCAATGTATCACTGGCTCCACCACCAGCTTGGAGCACGAGTATAATGTGCTCAGGCAACTTGGTGACACTGTTGGCATCCCCCATGTCCACTGGTTTAGACGCGAGGACAACTATGATGCCCTAGTCCTTGATCATCTTGGACAGTCGCTTGAGAGTGTATTCAAGACATATAAACACTCTTTCAGCCACAACACTATAGTGTTCATAGCCCATCAGCTTGTGAGTATTTCCTAAATTACATTTACTGATTCTAAAAATTTCACTAGGTCTGCCGCCTCCAGTACATTCACTCAAAACACTTCATTCATCGCAACTTGAAGCCCGACAACATCCTTATTGGAACTGGCAAGGATGCGCACAATATTTATCTTGTTGACTTCGGCATCTCCAAACAATACAGATACCCGCGCACTCACCTCCACATTGCGTTTGAACAAACCACCTCCTTGACAGGAACTCCGGCTTTCACGTCCATCAATAGCCATGCAGGCATGGAGCTAGCACATCATGATGATATCAAGTCCCTCGCATACCTCTTAATTTACTTATTTCGTGGATCTCTACCTTGGCTCCACTGTAGCGGGATCTCTGACGAGCAAGTTGTTGAGATGAAGCACGACACGACGAAGTTGTGCCAAGGCCTTCCTGAAGAGGTTGAACAGATCCTCACCTATTCACGTTCCCTCTCGTTTGACCAGAAACCGGACTACACATTCTTATGTCGCCTTCTTCAGCGCATCAACAGTACATCTGAGTCTTGCCAGCAGGATCATGTACCCGACTGGTCCACCATTTCCCCCGCACCTTGCAAAACCTCCATTGGCAATGCGGATTCTACCATGCCCCGCTGCTCACGTCGTTTGAAGGTGCAAGCTTTTCTCCATGCCCTATGTATTCCCCGCGCAGCAACCGCTGCCCTCGGACTGTACAGAAATGAGTGCTACTTCAATAAATGTGAGTACACTTATTTTTATATAATCATCGAGTTGTTGACTTAAACGGTCTGCAGGTCTATGTCACACAATAACTCATGTCTTACTGTTTTGTATTCTAGTTTGTATGTCAAAAATTCATGTAACTACTTGACCACAGCAATATGAGTGAATTTGAGCCTTCTGTGATTCAGTTCGAGCCGGCTCGAGCTGTGGCTCTATGAGCCTTAGCTAAAGCTGACTCGTATGGCTAGCCATGGCAGGCCAGGCCGGATATAATGGCTTGGCTCACTATAAATAGATGAGCTGCTGGTGAAGCTGGTAGAAGCCGAGCTGGCTCTTGGCTAGCCGAGCCGTGGCAACACTAACCCCAGTAATGTCGAATGTGGGCTGCTTTTTGAGTGGGGTCTAGTACTGATAATCAGATGTTTCATTTAATGTTTAGTACACACAAATAAAATGAGGGCACGTACACATGGCCATGATATGAGCATCCAAGTGGGCAGTCTTTGTGTAATATTCCGAAATTTTGTCGAGGCCGGCATCCAAACCTTCGTGAAAATCGATGTATTTGATGCGTCCAGAGCATGAGGACCAAGCACTGTGTAGTGCTTTGAGAGCGGGGAGTGCAAGGTGTAGCGTGGGTCCCTGATCTGTCGAAAATGAGTGCTGTGCCAATTCTGCAAACTAATCCACAATAGTATGAGTACTGGATTCTCGAGTCCTAGTAACATAAAATCAAACCTACACCAAGGATTGACAACAGCTTCTGCACACAAGACCATTCGTCGTCTGATAGTTCCAATTCAGCAAGTTTTCTCCGTTGAGTAAGGTCTCTTTCTTGTAAAGATATCCGTCCAACAAAGTAATTCACATCCTAAAAAGAATGGTGAGTGATACAAAACAAAGAGCTCGCTATACACATACCTCTCGAAGCTCATAAGCTCAACAAAGCATTACAAAGGTGGATGACCACCGGACCTTCATATCAAGAAGGAGTTGTCGAGCATTGGGGACAGGGATATGTCCATTCTCAGCATGGAGCTGGATCGTACGGAAAAGCTCCTTGCGGGATGCAGAAGAGTGCTCCTTGACTGAAATAGAGCGGACAAGACCCACCTCGTTGCGCTGGTCATGATGTGATGCCACGAGGTCATCATCAGGCATGGTAGCATCAACATGCTTCGATTTGCTGTGAGTTGACAGGAGGGCTTGTGTCACTAGGTTGATGATGTGCACAAGGCACCTAGTATTGAGTGTGAATAATCATCACACAATCATATATAAATGAGTACATACCGCAGCCTCCGTTTTTTGTGATCAAAGGGTTCATGTGTAAGGCCTTCAATATGCTTCCCAAATTCTTCCATCATCGTGTCGTTGTTGGCTGCATTATCACATGTAATGTAACCAATCTATTGAAACAATCAGTATGTTAATACAACTACAATAAGATAATTACTTTGTGTGCGACACCAACACACTTCACTACCTTGTACAGAGCTTGGCCGAGATGTTTCCCATTGTGCGAATTATTCAAGCAGGTAAAGCCCAAAAGTGCACTCTGGACTGTCCAAGCGCCACGTGTTAGTTCTTCAATCCAGTGGCCAGTGACAGCGAAGTAGCCATCAATATTTGTTGCCTGCCATGCATCACAGGTCAGATTGACACGACCCTTCACAGCTTCACTCTGCGCTAAATAATATAATATGTAATATACATTGAAAACAAATGCACATACCAGTAACTGTTTTTCGAAGGTTTGTGAGGTTCTGTTTGAATAATCAATGATGGCATGTCATGTCTGCCTGCGATTGGGAATTTTGATGCCGTTGGTCGAGCGAGCCGCAATATCAATCATGTTTTTGAATGCAGGGTGTTCAAGCGCATCGATAGGCTGCAAGTCAAGTCAGAAGTGTGTAAAACAATACATGAATCAAATCACCTGGTCAGTCTCTATCAGCCATTCGAGTGCAGCCTCTCGAAATAGCACATCCGAATACTGGACAACCTTGTCTCTCAGCTCTCACTGCTTCAAGTGCCCATCTATGTTGGTCTGATTATCAGTGGCCAATTCCTCTCGGCGGCGTTTTGTATCTTTGGGGAGCATCGATTTGAACTTTTTTTTTTCAGCCCATTTGAGATATTTGGCCTATGAGTGTAAGTTAGAGACATGATACAGCAGATAAGCTTCCAGTGCTTACCCTATGCACTGCTTGTTGATGGCGGCGCAATGTCAAAATCTCATTGACGAATGGAACAGCACATTTGTGAGTTTTTCTGATACAATAATCAATGCGCATTGTGTGAGAGTGAGGGAGAGATCTACTTATGTGCACGCGTTGCAATCACGCACTTTCTTGCCATCCTTGGCATAAGGAGTCGAGAAGAGAGCATCAATGTCTCGACTGCGCTGCTCGCGATACAGTTTTGATGGTTTGTTGATGTCGAGAACTTGGACATCCTCGAGAAACCCGTCTGCATCAATGATGTCTGCAGGTAGATCATGAGAACTTGAAGTAGTGGTACTTGATCGCACAACAGATGAGTCCACAACACGCTCATGGACATGTTTTTTTGCTGGTCTTGCAGGGACAGAACTTTCTTCTTGTGGATTGGGAGCAGGAGCTTTGTGTTTGGTAGGTTTTGTGGCTGGCACAGTGGGAAGTGATGTTTTAGCAGCCTCATGAGCCCTCCGATGTGATGATAATTCTAGATCAGCCACGTTATCAGCACTTACTACCTTGGCAGTCAGCGCGCCTGCTCGTTTGGGCCGTGTGGGAGGTGCCTGTTCATTGTCAGAGTCGCTGATGGGAGAGTCAACACATGGAATCATTGTGCGATGTTTGGGTGACTCTTGGTGCGAGTTCAAAGGGGCGTGGACACTGCTAGTGCAATGTGAATGCGCTGTAGAATTAGATTAGCGTTTAACGAAGGTTATGCGGTATGGATCAAAATGAGTTTTGAGAAAATAAATGATAGATATTGGGATACTGTTTAGATGACGAGTGTGAGACTGAGACTTGGAGACTGGATATGATTGCCTGTAGTAAGGAGTGTACATGGGCTACTTTTATACTGCAAAATATTTTCAAGGGTCAGGTATAGCTGTGCCAAATTAATTATGTGACGACGGATGCTGAAGGGAGTGGTATCGCGCCTGACAGGGTAGAGTAGACTGAAAGGGAAGAGAGTACGAAACGATTGAGTGAATGGCGATATGAAAGGGTATGGTATTGACAGAGTGATGAGAATTGCATAGTGGTTTTGATGGAATCAGACACGTGCCTGACAGGGTAGAGTAGACTGAAAGGGAAGAGAGTACGAAACGATTGAGTGAATGGTGATATAAAAGGGTATGGTATTGACAGAGTGACAAGAATTGCATAGCGGTTTCGACGGAATTGGACACAGCGAACTGAGAATAGGGTGACGGTGACAAAAATGTAAGCTGAGGGTTGAAAATGACGAGAGATAAGTGCTGAAAGGGTGTCGAGGTCCATGCTGACCAAGGTTGGCAGTGCGCTGATGGTGGTCAAGGTAAGCGTTGAACGGCAGTTTCCGGCATCAGACGATTGGTAATCCTTACCTGTGCTGATTGCAGACATGTATGAAGCCGCAGCTCAAGGGCCCAGCCCAGGCCTGTGCAGACAATAAGCCGGGCCCAAAGCCCTCACAGGCCCTACTCCAAAGCCCAGCTCAGCCCGGCCCAACAAGGCTCGGCTCGGCTCGGCCCAGGGCTTCAGGCCGGGCTTTGCACAACACTATGTGGGAGGTACTAGTAGTGATGGACGGGTCCAGTTTGGTCCAGTTCTCTGGCAAATTCTGGGAACTGAGAACCGAACCCTATGGTTCGGTTCTCCAAAAAAACAGAACCATGGACCGGACCATCGGTTCAGTCCAATAATGGTCCAGTTCCAGTTCATCAAGGGTCCAAACCCTGAACTGGACCATTGAAATAGCCCAAAAAAAATCATTTTGGCCGAGACGTAGAGTAGTGCAAATAGTAGCTATACAACAAAGAGAAAATAAAACTACTCGCTATCTTCATCTGCATCATCACTGGCAGCGCAGATGTGACCATTTTGGTATGCATATAGATGCGAAAACAGTGATCATACCTGACATGACCTTGGACAGGATCCCACATCTTCACACCAGCATCCTTATCAGCGTTGATGATATCCGCAAAGGTGGCAAGGCATGTGTCGTTGCTTGATGCATTATCACAGGTAAACCAACCAACCTGGTTGTTATTTAGTATTACATAGATTAAAAACAAATGAAAACTTACTTTTGGATGAAGACCATACCAGTCCACTGTGCGCACAAGTAAAGTAGCCATGTTTGCTCCAGTATGACGTCCTTTGATGGGCGAAAAGGCCAGCTGCTCAGTTTGAAGTTTCCAGTCGTTAGGTATATCTGGTTGTGCATGGATGTAATGGCCAGTAACAGACAAAAATGGATCACTGGGGTCGGATGTCCAAGCATCGAATGTGAATGAAACTTTTCCAGGTATGTCCTGCAGCGAGTACACTTTAAGATGGTAGATATCACAAAGAGAAAAAAAAACACCCACCTTGAGAATGTCCTGCAGACGTGCTTCAGTAGCCGCTGCTTTCTTCATGATTTCCTGGTGAATGGCCTTATGGTGCGGAATGTCGTTGTTGGACAAAGATGGTTGGAGGTAAGTTAGTAGGTGACGGAATGGGCATTTTTCCACGAGTTGGAATGCCTTGTCCTCGCACACAATCAACTCCACAACATAGTCAAGAAGGCCGCTGGTTATAAATGCAGGTGCGCATGGCTGATGGATTATGATCTCATCAAGACTTTGTTGACTGAAATGTAAGTTAATGAAGTCAAATGTCAGTATGGGATCAAATATACCTGTTGAGGGTTTCAGTCGTATCAGACTTTGGACATGCCCTTTCATTCAAGGGAATGTCTAATTTCTTGCAATGTTCTTGATAAACCTTGATATGGTCGGGATGCCTGTATTCTGTCGTCAGTGTGAACACATCAATGACTGATGCAGAAAACTTGCCTTGAGATATGAGTACAGAGGGTTGACATGCTACCCTTGAAGAAGCATTGTCTAGCAGCAACACCGTTCTTTCTAGCAAACACAGTTTTAGTTTTAGGCATATTTCAAATAAAAATTGGAGGCCTACTGGCAGACTGTGCACACATGTCCTGACTCGACAAGCCCAGTATGTGGGTCTACATAATCATCTTTCTTGATGAAGATGGTACAAACATCTGTGGTTTGTTCAGCCTTAGGACGGCAAGTCGAACCCTAGTTTGTACATGAGAAAAATGTGGATGAAAGTAATGCTAGTGACTCACCTTACGGTCTGCATCTCCCATAGCTTTTGTCGATGCATATGCACACTCCATGTCATCCTCAGCTTCGGTGTCACCACCTACTGCATCGAGATCAGTACCACCAATATCTACATCACTGTCGGATTCTCCATCATGACTGGAGGTGGTAGGACTTGCAATAATCTTGTGTACGACCCGTCGTCTGGTAAGATTGTCAGCAGCTTTTCATTTACCTTTGGCAGTACTGGATGATGCAACATTGTGGGGATCGAGTATCCTTGTTGAAGGGTGAGGTGCTTGAGTAGAATGACGGGCACCAGCTTATGACGGCTGCAGGGGGAGCAGCACCAGCAAAGAATGGGTGCAGCAGAGACTTGATTGCAGATGAGGAGGGGATAGGCTGATTGTCATCCGCATTGTTGTACCATATGATTTTGGACACATCTTTCAGCTTGCCATTTGGGCCAACAGCGCTGTCAGGCATCATGAGATGTGTTCAGTCAATGAGAAGTCACTTTGCCAACTAATATACCTTGTATCTCATTGAATATGGAAATGGAGGGCGATGGGTTCAAGATATCATTCAATGATAGGGTCAGGAAATGTCTGTATAATTGCAACAAATTACATGAGTTGCCAATTGAGAATCGAACATACTAACTTGATGGAGTGATTCTGAAACATTGTGTCGTCAAGGATGCATACCGCTGATTGATAGTAAAGCCTGATGAGCAAAATAAGTTGATCGTGTTACCATGGTCGACAGAGTGTCAAGCAAATCGAACATAACTTGATGGAGTGATGAATTCTGAAACATTGTGTCGTCAAGGATACAACTAATACTGATATTAGACTACAACATACTGCTTTCAGATCTGCTCTTCCAGTCTGATATATCTCCATGGTTCAAACCTGTTCAGCAATTCCTACAGGTCATCGAACCGGGAACTGGACCGATGGGTCGGTTCCTCTCATTGCTTGAACCTTGGACTGGACTTCGGTCAAGTTCATAATGGTTTGAGTTCGAACCACGGTTCTGAACTGGACTTGGCCACCACTAGGAGGTAGAGTCGGCTGATAGAGTTTTGTTGTAATGGCATCACTAAAAGTCAAAAAAGTAGATATAGTAAGCTAAGATAAGCTCGTGTGACAACATTCCCAAACACATCCATCATGGCGGCCAGGTACTAACAACTCCAAGTTGTGCTGATATTGTCTGCTCCTAAACTGACTTTGCACTCAACAACCATCATGCTGCTGAATAATGTTAGAAAGTATGCTCAGTGTTGGTGAACAACAATATATTCACAATCAATGAAGCAAGGATAACCAAAGTCCAGAGTCAAGTGAATTACCATATGGGGATAGACACTGATGTAAGGTTTGGCTTCGGATATGAAGTATAGGATGGATCTGAAGGTCTGGAGAAGTGTGGATATCAGATCAGGCGTCTGGCTATCGGATGAGCGGATCTGGAGATCTAAGTGAAGGGGCACTAGGATATGAATCAAGGATATAGTCTGGTATCTTAGAGGAGGTAGAGTCCTGGTGTCATATACCATATATCCGGTTACAGATCCGATGATCCGGATCTCAGATCTGATCCAGATCCGATGAACATATCCGTCGTCCGGTCCACAGATCCGCTTTGATTCTTATTTCATTCCCTGTTCATATAACTCTAACTATCGTTCATCTCCTTTCGGTATTCCTGTACACCGGTATACCAGTTATCCTTTACTTCCGCTTTGCTTACTGATCCGCTATGCTTACTGATCCGCTACACTTACAAATCCACTTTTACTTGTACTTCATTCCCGGTTCATGATTCGTGATCCATCCGACTTACCAATACGCTCCACTTAGACTTTGCTTATACTTTCGTACATAGCCTCGCACCTTTGCTTATTGATCATTCTGTTAGCTATCCGTAGTATATAAACCTTTGTATATGCGCTGTAGTGGATCAGTTCGA